TATCTTGATGCGGTGCGGACGCGCTTGGGAAAAAAAAATGAGCGCGTTCACCGCGTTGAACTTGCACCCTGCGCGCGGTGCGCCTAGTAGCCTAAATTTGAAATAACCATGGAAATAACGAACTTGAGCGTGCAAAAGGGTACGATAGGCTGTGAGTTCATTGTGCAAAAACAATTTGTGCTATTACTTTCCCCTTATTCTATCCTAGTAATGCAATACTGTATATTATATAGGCTACTGTTGAATACATTTGGTTCAGCTAATAAATTGCATTTAAAATATATTGATTCCTGTAATAATAATTATTTATTCATGTGATATTTATAAATCTGGGTGCGTTTTTGGTTGGAAATCAATGAAACATGGTACTGTATTAACCTGGTCTCCCCTGTTTATTGTCACAGCTCATACAATAAAGCAAACACCCATGATAAACTATGCTTTTCTATCTAACGTTAGTAATTGCTGACTCTTTATTCCAACGCTGAGCGAAGCGAACTCTCTGCTCCTCGTCACGGTGCGTCTCAGGTGATTGTTATCACTCTGCCCAAGTAGCAGTGCTTCCCCTTCAGAAAATATAGTATTTATACGGTCAAAAGATGTCTGTGTCTCATATGGCCTTGATATTTGCACACTCTGTGACTATACAAACCACAACATGTAAATAGGAAAACGTTTGCGTTATTTTGTCACTCATTTGGATTAGTATGAAAGCTGCAACCATTCACATCCAGTCTTTGTGCTAAGCTAGGCTAGCGGTGGGTGCGTCAAACAGACTTATAGCACGCACGGAGATGAAAAAGGTATGTATGGACTTATCTAACTCTGGGGGGTAAGGTGAATAGGCTAAAGTCCCAAAAAGTCGGAGTGTTCCTTTAAAGAGGAAACATCCCAGCAAAAGAGGAGCCGTTGATAATTGAGTGTTCTTCAGCTGGAGCTAACTAACTAGCGGTAAATCTCTTTATTAGATAATAATGCAATACTACTAATAATATTATCAATAATAATATAATTACAGTAATGTGATGATTTATTTAGCATTGAATAAAGCTTGATCGAGCTTAGGAATCAGGGCTGTTTTTATTATTGTAACACTATTAGGTATTATAGTCTTATCACTTGCCTGTATTTTGTTCCATAATCATGAAGACTTAAAAATGGAGATGTTTAGGAAGAATATGGCAGTTTCTTTTTCTTTTCCATACTGTAAATTAAAAGGTGAATGAGAACGTCTCGGTCAGCTCAATTGTCATGTAAAAAAAAAAAGATTGTAATTTTATATTTATAATAATGGTTTGCAGATTAATATTTTACTATTTTTGTGTCCTGAAGTAAATGGCCCTTTTTCTGTTTCAGTCCTAAGAAAAGCAGTGGTCATTAAACAATGCTTAGAGAGCATTTGTATGTGATTTGAGTTGGACTGAAATCTGAAAACTTAAAGAGAATGACCTGTTTATTTGGCTCAAGTTCCTTAAAACAACTATTTCAAAACCTGAACTGATTTTCTTTTTTTATATTATAGTAAGAATATGTAGAACTCAATGTTTTAACTAAGTGAAAAAGATTAATAACCGTTCCAGACTTACTGATAAGAAATAATCAACGATTAGTCGACTAATCGTTCTAATAATACTTAGATTCATCGATTATCAAAATAATTGTTTGTTGCAGCCCTATAAGAAATAACAATTTTAATTATTAAATGCTTGAAAAAAAACGTCATAAACCAGAAAACCGGCTTAATTTTGGTCAAACCGCCCAGCACTAGAGTCTCATCTCCTACTCCCTTTAAAAGCCAGTTGCGCTCCAGGATTCGCTATTTACATGGCAGGATTTATAAGCGGAAAAACTGAATGCTTCTCTAGTGAGGAAACGGCTCTGCTCGTCCGCGAGGTTAAAGTGCGTAAGCAGACCATCTACGGGACAGCAGATGTAAGAGTAGAGGTGTGTGTGTGTGTCTATAGTTTAACATCTTTAGCCAAATATGTGATGATTGATAGTGATAACCGTAGCAATGCCAGAATAGATCTGTGCATAAGTGTAATACAAACGAATACATGTTCTATGTAGTGTTTAATGTGATTGCAGGGACGTATCCCAGCCCTAATATCATGTAAATCGGCTTTACATTACGTCTGCATCAGCAATGGCCATCAAACAAAACAAATCAGAATAAGGTTTAATTTGTCACTAGACACACCTTCATCACATTGTTAATGATTGATGTCGCTCACGGCGCTGGAAATCACCTGCTCTCGGTGCAAATTATTCATTACGCAGGTTGAGAAGACACAATATCTGCTCATCACACATAAGAGTTTCACGGTTCAAACTGACCTGAGGGATATTATTAAAAGTCTCACATTATTCCATTAATATTCCAAATCAAAATAAACAAAACAACACTTTAGCTGGCGACTAAAGAAAAAAAAAAAAACACGTGACTATCTCTCCCTCTACAACATTTTCCCTGGCAGCTCCAACCCAAGAAAACATAACTTTTGCCCGTTACTAGGAGACCGGAATCCTTACAGAAAGAAAGGCATTGTGGTCTGGAAAGTCAAGCGCTGTAAATCCACTGCCACAGTGAAATTCCAACATTCCCAGAGAGAGAGAGAGAGAGAGAATACCTGACAGGAGACCACAGTCTGTAACCGTTAAGCAGAGCTACACACAGACGTCCTGGGCTCTTCCTTTCATTCCAGTCTTTAAAGTCGCCATTAAATCAAAATTCACAATTCTTGTGTTTTAGTGGAATATTGCAATATTTATTCTAAATGATTATTTTAACTCATGTGCCCCGTAATTTTTAATCAAAGTAACTTCCCCTTCCCCTCCCTCTTGCAGCTCTTCTCTTCTCTGATGATGCGTTTACTGGGGGGCGGGGCAACCCGTCACTCACATGAGATCCACCAATAGCAAACCACAAGCATCCAATCCATTCCCGGTGGACAAAAAAGCCCCGTCCTACATTTGAAGAGTTCAGATGCAAAAGCCTCTAAGTGCCATTTGAAATTTTCTTCTAGAATGATCATTTTTATCAAGCTTGTATATTTAAGTTCAGTAATTTCACTTAAATGACAATGATAATTACCTATTAATTGTTATTTAGGTGAAATTACTGAACTTAAATATACACGTTTGATAAAAATCATCATTAACGAAAAACATTTCAAATGGCATTTAGAGGCTTTTGCATCTGAACTCTTCATTTGTTCTCGTTCCAGAAGCCGTTTCACTGGGATATACGTCACAATAGGGACGAAAAGACTAGCTCAACTGTTTCATGCTGACTTAAATGTTGTAAAGTTTATCAATTATGAATTAAATTTCAGGTATAAAGCAATTCTACAGAAGGCAATAGTGTCATCGTTTTGCTCAAGTCAGTTTAATGTTTAATCCTTGGTTGGTTGAGTTTTCCAACTCAACAACAACAACAAAAAAGCTAAAAGGGCAAATTTTTAAAAAGGTAAATGTCAAATTGAGAATCCGACAAATAACTGGCCATTCATTAGAGGTGAGACGGTACATGTTCTCGTCCCGAACTGTCAGGGTACAGACGTCACGGTTCGGCGCGTGCCGTCAGGTGATGAATTGCGCAAAACTTTTGCGATATTTTCCAAATGTCGATAAAAAACTATCGCGAAATGACGGTGTTTCCATTAACCAATGTTATGCGACTAAAACGTCTTTTTTTCCTCTCGCGATAAGTCATTCCAAAAATCATGGCAACGGACTTTGGTAGGTTTATAACCTATTTCACAGCCATGCACCGCACTCGACATTATTATTATTAATGGACGGAGACGTGGTGTGTGTTATCATCCAAGCATTAATGGCAGGGAAAGACACAGAGTTCCTGGTGTTTCTCTCTTATTTCTGCTTCAATGTCTTGATGGCATTTCTTTGAGGTTTAGAGAGGCTATTCCTGTGATTATTGTTTCTTTGATTTAAATGAATTTAATAAAGAACTCTATCTCGTATTGTGTCCAAACGGTCGTTGCAAAACGAAAAATGAACGGTTGTTGTATTTTTAAAACGCAAAGTTGAACACCATCATTTTAGTTTGACCACACCAATGCTGCGCTATTTACGTCTCAACGAATTTTCAGATATTTTTTTATGACTTTTTGCCCCCTTTAAAACATTTACAATACTCACAAATTAAAATGGGAAAAAAAAATGTCGATTTTACTGGTTTTCTAAGGCCAAATTAGAACATGGATATTTATGATATTTTTCCCGATGTGATGTGACGAATTGCTTTGTTCCTTTTTTGGATAAAAGCGTCTTCTACATATGTAGCCTAATAAATGTTATAATAGGCTAATGATGATAATTATTATTATTATTTGTGGACACGGACCTAAAACACACTCCGTCTTCTAAGTCAGGTGACTGTAAATGCGCAAAATCCGTTTCCATTGCAGTTTTGCGAAAATATCCTTTTTCGAATTGCCAGAAAAACCTCCTCATGCGAGCGTAAAAACTTTTTTGCAATAAACGGGAGTTTTAGAAAAATTGACGTGTTTCCATTTCGCAATTTCAATTTGCGCAAATTGAAGGGTAATGGAAACGCAGCTACTGTTTACAAACCACCGCAACAGGAAGAAGAGCAGAAGAAGAAGAGTCGATCTAGTCAATCTGACTATTTTATTATATTTATTATTATTATTATTATTATTATTTTTATTTTTTTTATTTTTTTTGGACATGTTTGTGTGTGAGTTTGTGTGTAACTGATGGCCATATCAAATTCCTGTGCATCTGCTGATGCATTTGGCGAATAAAGTGATTCTGATTCTGAATCAATCAATTACAGAAACAAATCAACAACTCCTTCAATTTTTATCTGAAACAATCAGACATGTAAATGTACCGAAATCGTATCGAACTGTGACCCCAAAACATCGAACCGTGACCGTTCTGTATCCCGTTACACCCCTGATGGCCATGCTGTACTACTGAACCAGTGAAAGAGCAGCTCAACAACACCTCACCTGATCTCCATTTGATGATGTCAGTGAACTGGTTGTTGTCTCCGCCCTCCGAGGCCTCTGACAGCGTGCTCACGCTCGCCATCTTCCTTCCCAGGAGTCACGGGTCCGTCTGACACGCTCGAGTAGAAGTCCCGCTGTCCTTTACATACACAGCCCACTGAAAATCCCTGCAACAGAGCGGGATATGGGTCAGCCCGAGCTCAAGGCAGTGCTGTGGAGAAGCCTTTGAAACCCAATACTAGTATATCGTTGTCACGTGACCTCATTAAGGCGCATCTGTAATTCAGAAGGTAGTCATTATCTCAGAGGGGAGAACACTCGCACATTTGGTTTCCAAGCAATGTTGTGTTAGTCAGTCTTTGTATCCCTCATATTTGATCACCAAAATTACATTTAAATGTTTTTTCTTTCAAAATATCTTGAGTGTAACTCGACACCCTTCCCTCATTTTATATGCGCGGTTCTATGGATATGCAAATAAGCCCCGCCTCCACTCACTGAGCTCAGAGATCCACTGGTTGACGATCACACGTTGATCTGGTCGTTTGTGACGTCAGAAACACCAGCGATTTCACACCGTGTTTTTGTGTTTTAAGGAGGAAATACTCAGCAATGCTGTCCACTTATCAACTTACACATGGTTTGTCTAAAAGCGTATTAAAAACACCACATTTGATTGACTTTCTTTCTCCACAGGGGGAATTTACATTTATTTAAGACTCCATTGTGGGATTCATCAGCAAATGTAGGATGCAGGATCTCCACATACTGTGTAATACAGGCTTACATATACTGCATAATGCTCTTTGAAATGTTTACACAAACCATGTGATCGTACTTCTCTGAGCGAGTGCAAAGCACTGTGGGAGAGCTGGAAAGAGTAGGCCATGCCATGCCGCCTCTGACCCGATCAGGTAACCCGGTTTCAACACAGGCCAGGCGTATGAACTCTTCTAGGTCATTCAGAAAGGAAGAGGAGCGAACATAGACCGATCTGAGTGAATGTGTGTGAGACAGCAGGAACAATTCTGATGAAACAAACTCATTGAGGAAACTCCTTTTCTTCTGCAGGCGTCAACTACTTTGTGTACTCACTTTGATTCTTTTACATCAACGCCTCATTCTGAACAGAATTGTTGAATTATTGACTCTCACCAGCTCTAATTCTTGTTCTGATTCTTATTTAGTTTCTGACGTAATTTAAATAACAACTTTCTGATGCTAATTTTGATTTGGATTGTAATTGTTATACTGATTCTCACCAATTCTCATTTTAATTCATATTCTGTGTCTGATACATTTCTGCTGCCAATGTTGATTATAATTCTGACACCAACTTAAATTCTTATTCGAATTATAATTCTTATATAGATTCAAATTCAGATTCTCATCAATTCTATACCTCATGCTAACTTAAAATTCTATTTTTTATTCTAATTCTGTAGGGCTGTCAAACGATTGATTGCATCGAAAATAAAAGTTTGTGTTTACATAATATGGGTGTACTGTGTATAATTATTTTGTATATATATATATTAGGGCTGTCAAATGATTAATCGCGATTAATTGCATCCAAAATAAAAGTTTGTGTTTACATAATATATGTGGGTGCACTGTTTATAATTATTTTACATATATAAATACACACACATGCTTGCATATATTTTTGAAATATTTTCATGTACTGTATATACTGTATTTAGAATAGATTTATATATAATTTAGATTATATATAAATTGAAATATTTTATATATAAATAATATTTTTCCTTAAATATACATGCATGTGTGTATTTATTTTTATATATATATATATATATATATACATACAAAATAATTATACACAGTGCACCCATATATATTATGTGTAAACAAACTTTTATTTTGGATGCGATTAATCGCGATTAATCGTTTGACAGCCCTAATATAAATATATATATATATATATATATTTAAGAAAAAAATATTATTTATATATAAAATATTTATATTTATATGTAATATAAATTATATATAAATCTATATATACAGTATATACATGAAAATATTTCTTAAATATGTACAAGCATGTGTGTGTTATATATATATATATATATATATATATACAGTGCACCCATATTATGTAAACACAAACTTTTATTTTGGATGCGATTAATCGTTTGTCAGCCCTATAATTCTGTCATAATTTAGATTCTTATTATATCTTCCTCATTCTAATTCTGATGCTTAACTTAAATTCTGATTTGAATCTTAATTCTTACACCGATTCCAAATTCTAATAATAATTGTTTTAGGGTTTATAATGATTCTAGTTTTGATTCTTATTAATTCCATTTCTTATTCTATTCGGATTCCAAAAATGATACTGGTTCGATTCAGATTCTAATCCAGATTTATTTTAATTACTATAAGTTTGGATTTGGTTCTATTTTTTACCTTACATCAGTCAAGTGAGTGAGTAAAGTCCAACTTGTAATTATGTGAACACATGAATGCAGCTTAAATCTTTTGATTTTGGTTCTGACTCCAAAAACTTCAGGGACTGAACGCGTTTTCAACCAAAAAAAGTGAAAACGTTTATTTACACGACAACAGCGTTTTGGGGGCCCGAAAATGGGTTTCAAGGTCCAGTTTTTGAAAACGACCATCATGTTAACAAACAAAAAGCGTGTGTTTAGTCTATACCCAGACAGCAAACTGACATTGAATCAACGTGGAAACGACGTCTCTCATGACATTGAAACAACGTTGATTTTGCTCATCGAATTAACGTTGAACCAACGTCAGACGCGGCATTCTTCAAAGCTAAATGAAAATCGAAAATTGGTTTGCTTTCATAACGTTGAAACAACGCGTTGATTTCAAGTTGATTTTCCGTTAGTTTTGAAAGAATGACGCGTCTGACGTTGGTTCAACGTTAATTCGATGAGCAAAACAATGTCAGATCAACGTTGTTTCGATGTCATATTTCCACGTTGATTCAATGTCAGTTTGCTATCTGGGTAGGTACGTCGTATTCCTTTATAAAGTGACACCGCCACCTACTGGCCTGGCATGAATAATACAGCGTCTTTAGTTGTTTTCGTGGATCCGTGCGAACAGGGATCATTTTGATAACCGTGTCGTCTGTACAAGGAAAAACGTTTATGTTTTAGTACATTGTACTCGCAACGGAAACCAATTTATTACAGCGCAATATGATGATTATTTTTAAGTACATTTAAGTTACAGCCTATAGTATTAAATGATGATTAAGGGGCTGTTAACACAACGCCGTTTTCAACTAAAAACGTAAATTCGTTTTGGTTGCCAGAAAACGCTAACTTTTGAAAACGGGTTTTAAAGTGCACGTTTTTGAAAACGGTCTCCGCGTAAACGACAAAAACGCGAATCTCTGAAGACGATGACGTCATGCAAATGCGCATTACGTGTTCAGTCTATAGTGTTTCAGGGTGTTTAGTTGTTTTCGCAGATCTGTTTGAATGGGGATCGTTTTGACAATGGTGTCGTCTGTACGCGGCAAAAACTCAAAAGGAACAACTTCTCCGTTTTAAGCATATCGTTGCCGTGTAAACGTACCTTTAAACACAATCTGGTCGTCACACTGGAAAGTTCGAGATGTCTAAGGTTGACCTAAATCTACAGTGAGATCAACAGAGCGGGTCAAAACATCGGCCACATGCTGACGCACAATCAGAAGTGAGATGTTATCACCACCCGCACCAGAGAACACCCATCAGAGGGTGAAAACCAGGTCCTGTGTGTGTGTGTGTGTGTGTGTGTGTGTGTGTGTGGGACAAGTTGTAACAGGAGCTGTCACCCAGCCAAACAGGTGACCACGCATTCATTCTGTGGCTCCCCCTACATTCCTTCCCTCATAAACACACACCGGTCCGGTCCACCAGCGGCGGACCGACGGGCATGACGGCTGCTGGGTGATGATGTCATCCATCAGTAATGAGGTAACGATCAGGAATGCCGAGAGTCGCTGGAGAGAATAGAAACAAAACTCCCTCTGACAATCTACAGCACGTCTTGTCCAAGAAAGGCTCGGCTTCAGCTCATAAATGTGTTGGCGACGCAGCAACACTGGATGACGCAAACCTCTAACTTTAGATTCCTGCAGAGAAACCCATTTTCTCCACTTCCATCCCACTTAAAGCTGGCTTATGACTTGAAATAGCCCTAAAACGTTGACCGTGTATGCTTACACAACTCAATGAAGTAGTCAATATCAAGAACAGTGTGTGTTCTGGATTAAAAAAAGGCAACATAAAGAGAAAAATAGCATTTTTAGAGGAAAATCTTGTGCCAATTTGACTCCTGCATGAAACACGTGGCCATATGATCTGCAGTTTGAAAGACCATAACAACTCAAACTAACCCCCCAAAAAGCATAATAATGACCTTAATAGTCAGTAATTGGGATAAATGACTGTAATCCCAAAGAAACCTAACCTTGACACGAGGCCAAACTAACCCTACTCTAACTTTAACCAACTCTAGCCAAGCCTAACTCTTTAAGTTAACTAACCCACTGTGGGGGGGAAGTTGCTGCCTTAAATTAAGTACAATCAACTTGGATAATCAAGTTATTTCAATTTTTCCATTAAACCAACTTCTTGAATCTTAACATAGTTTTATTTTGATTAGTTAAAACGATGTAAAACTTATGTTGTCATAACATATTGATCATATTGTTTTACAGTGTACATAACAGATTTTAACTAAACCCAAACAAGTCTACCAAGCAATCGTTATAACTCCAAACCTAACTTTAGCTCTTGCAAATGCAATCCACGATAAAATTAAGTTTTCCCAGTGCTTCTAACTTCTAGTGTAGGTCAGACAGACCATTAGAGAACCCAAGAGAGCAAATTAGACTCAAGAGACACTTCCAGCATTTCACAGACGCTTCGCCTTCATTCAGCTGTGGTTTATTTATTTAGTTTAACTTGTTTAGGTAATCTGGCCAGTCGCTCATAATTCAACAAACATATCAAAGTTCAGCGAACATGATTACAAGCAGCAGCTCTCACCTTTGCGTGATGAATCTCTCTCAATCCAGTACAGTGACTTTATTATATCATTGAGTGAATAATGAATCATTGACTCTTATTAGGGCATGTTGAACGCTCCACGCTGCCACAGCTCGTCTAAAGCTCCAGATCTTTCACGGGAGATTCACAACTCCATCCAGAAAACATCCAAGTTATCCAACTCGATAGTGTTGGCGGTCCGGGAGTATTTCACTCCGCCACAAAGTTTCCTTTCCTCATGAATAACAAAAGGAGAGTTGCAGCGCGTCCCGAGCCACTCCGCGAGCTCCGCCCACGCGCACAGCAGGAATAATGGACACGTGACGTCACGAGGCGCGCGAGCTCCAGGCGTGCTGGATTGAGTGAAGAGCGCGTCCCCGTGTGGAATGGTGTGGACGCGCTCATAAATTAATTAAATTGATAATTAAATGAATCGTTCAGCGACACAAAGAAAGATTCATTGAAGAAGAAGAAATCACATTTATAATGATAAAATATTAAACTTGAGTTCAACTATTAATCCGATAAAGTATTTGTTTGGAAAGAGGATAGACTGAAGGAAATGTGATAGCCACACACATTTTGTTTGATCATTTTATGTTTTATTATTTCATTATATATTTTATATTATTTATTATATTTTTATGATACACACAATACAAACAAAAGTCAGTCTGATTTATAAGTTAAAGCATCTTTACAACTCAATATACATCATGTAGGCTAACATAAACGCCTGCAGCAAACAAAAATAATATATTTTAGAAGCAATATGAAAACAATTACTGGCCAATTAAGGCAGAGGTTTCAGAATCAGAATATGTTTCGCCCATAAACTAGAACAGCCTGTTCTAGTTTAGAATTAAGCCTGGCCTATCACAACATAGGCTATTATTATCATATATTTACATAGGAAGCGTGCATTTCAAATCATTATGGAAGTATTCATTCTTGGAAATTACATCTGACTTTTTTTTTATAATGTGTGTTTAGCAGAACTTGTTTGAAGGTCATTAAATATTGTATTAATTTAATCAATGTATTTAGCAGAAGTTAGTTTTAAATTACCAATAGGAGGCAGTATCAGACCACCCATTCAACATCATGTCGATTTTGATTGTTGACTTATTTGTTCATATGGCAAGTGAGCTCCGCTTTATGGAAATGCCCTGAGGGTAAACACAACAGTGGTCGGTGTTCCTCTCCTCCGTCCATCCAGAAAAAGGGGGATCAAATCTCGTGAATGCCGACAGCATAGCATTTCATGATCCGCGTCCGATCTACTTTTTATTTTATTTTTCCGTACAGCTTTCGCTTGCCGACCATGTGTACGGCAGTTCTGCACGTTCATTTTTGAATACGCTAAAGATGAAAATCAAAAGTCATTACCAGGAGTGGGGTTCGAACCCACGCGGACATATGTCCATTGGATCTTAAGTCCAACGCCTTAACCACTCGGCCATCCTGGTACATACAAGTTATGCTCAATGCTAGTTATGCTATAATTATGCAACACTAAATATGTTCGTTAAAATTTTATGCTGAATTTCATCTATTTTGGTCGTTCGTGCTTTTCCTTAAGTTTAATTTCATATTCAGAGCTCAATAGCAGTCGGTGGTGCAGCTGACTATTAGCATATGCTAACAGAGTCGAAGACCGCCAAAACGTATTATTTGGTTATAACTAGCTTAAAATATTAAGACAATGCATATGAATTTGAATGCTTGCTGTTTTCTAAACACTGCATAATTATTATGATGTAACGTTAGCCGCTAAACAGTTAGCAAGCTAGTAAACAACATAGAAAAGAAAGTAAACACGCTCAAATTCTTGACACACTCCGTCCAAAACAGTTTCAGTGACAAGCTTGTTGTTTATGTTATTTTCTGAAGTGAAAATGTTTAAATTATATATCAATACTTTCTATCATCAGTATATGCCTAGATAACTTATTCTGTTGTTCAAATGTTGATAAAAACTGCTTTTATATGGGCGGTTGCTCTGTCTGACAATCTGGTTTTAGCAGTTAAATCAGTTTGACACGATAGCCATGTTGGATAATTAGTGAAAACCCCCAAAACATCATGTGCTGTCATTTGAGGTCACCAAGATAGCTGGCCGGCTTTGTTTAGCAAGGAGGAGATAATCTGGGGGAAGAAAAAATAAATATCAGACCTTTACACCAAAATTACCCATTTGATTTTCATTTAATTCTAACATTCGTTACACGTTACACAACGTTACACTTCAACTGGAAAATTCCAGTCCCTATTGGAATGAGTAAGTCTTTGAATAAGAGTAAAACTGGTAATGAATAGCTAAGTTCTGCAAATTGTCAACGCACTCTCATTATACAGATTTTAATATAGTTTGCTGGATTGGTTGCTAATTTGTAATCTCATTCAGACATTTCAGTACAATCTAACTCCTCAGCGCAAGAGGTTTATAGGGTGGACTTTAGGATTATTTCTTCTTCTAAAAATTATACAAATTCGGCACGTCACAATTACGGTAGTCACATTTTTTCCTGGTGTGTAACCATGTTGTTTTTACAGTATTTTAACACTTTAAAATTCATTTAGATATTAAAGGGATAGTTCACTTTATGAACCACTGAAACGATTTTGGAAAAATTATTTTAAGGTAAAAAATCTTACGTAGTGTTGTTTTTAAGACTGATGTACTCAGGGTAACCAGGGGCATTCCTCTAGATGATTCTAGAAGCCTGACGATGATTCTAGATGACACAGCATATGGTGATGTGAAAAGCCCATGTACATTTTCTTCTTTTGATCTAAAAAAAATATGAATCCCATTCTTTTATTTTGTTTACACTTTATGTTGTGTCCATGACAGTGTAGTTATATATTTAAGAAGGCTACCGATTAATAATAATTACATGTACTTAGGTTAGGGTTTGGTTTAGTTGCATGTAATTGTGCATAGTTTATAGTTTTTAATATAGTAAATAATGTAACAAGGACACTGAATAAAGTGAGGACACAAAAATAAAGTGTTACCTGTTTTGATTTACCTGGTTCTTCATACTCATCCTGGTTTGATTAACATTATCAACAAGAGACGAAAGCATCTCAGATGTTACCAATATTACATTACTACTATTTAAAGCAAACATGCACTTACCTGATCTTCTGGATGTCTGACTTTACCTGTTGTTGTGATGTGTATTCCGGTTTGACTGTGCCAACATGCAGCTGAGCACGTGAGACTGAGACACACACCTCCTTCTCCTTCTCCTCCTCCTCCTCATGCTGAATGTGCCTTCACTGCATACACTGGCAGAACTGCTTATTCATATACTTCATATAAACGTAACACCGACCTGCTGCCAGTGAACCAACCATACAAGGACATTTCCGTGCACTATTGGCATCAGTGACAATAACCAGGAAGTATACTTACATAAAAGTGAATGTGATTCTTATGAAAACATTTGTGTTTTGTAGTGAAACTGCTAAATGAAATACTTCAGCATTCAGAGAGTATCACAGTATGAAGATATCAAAATGTCTTCCACAGAAACTTTTATGCAAATGTCCAAATGCTCCAATATAAAACATATTAGGCCTATATATTATACATATATTTTTGGCTGACATGTAGAATGTAAATCAATGAAAGGATTGAAAAGTGAACTTTTAAAGTGAAGGATGAGTTATGCAATGATGTACCGAGTCTGGCAGAGATTTTCGGCACACAGAAATCCCTTCTGTATCCTGTAGGGGTCACTCCACTCATAGAGAAAGACGGTGTGTGGTTCATCATACACCTGTTACCTAATAGTGTTAGTGTTATTTGTTGTTTTCTGACAGATATGTCTGAATTACATGAGTATACTATTAGCTGAAAAACTTGAAGCACTGTTTATTCTTTTGTATCTTTGTTCCATTGTGTATTTGTGCTATTGCGTGTCATTTGTTTATTTGATTTTATCGTATTAAAGACTTTTCTCAAATACAGCACATTCACATTGTTATATTATCTACATCATACACAGGAGTATAATGTATAAGCACATATAAATGTGTGCAGTAGATAATGTCCTCTTTTTGTTTTTAAAACATACAACAATGTCAAAAAAACTGAATCAACAGATAAACATACAGACAAAGTAGAAAACAAAACATAAATAATCCCTCTTTCCCACCCTACCCAGCCTTATCCTTCCGTCTAAATATAGTTAGAAGAGGAGTTTATCCATAAGAATATATTTTATTCTCTCTATGTTTGTGAGATCACTGAGCCATAACTTTTGTGGTGGGTGTTTCTTTATTTTTCCAATGCATGAGAAGTAGCTTCTTGAGACTATAGGAGGCATTGTTGGTAGTTGTTTAACCTTTTAATATCAACTGAACTTTCTAAAATAGCCTACTAATGTGAGGATTAAAGGCTCCAATTGTATTTTAAGTATCCTAGAAATTAAACTGAAGATATTAAGCCAGATCTTAACCTTGGGACACAGGACGAAGCTGTGAAGCAACGTGTCTTCTGCAACAAGGCATCTGTCACATAGAGGGGATATCACAGGGTATATTTTGTGCAATCTCTCCTTAGAAATGTGAAGACGATGCAGGATCTTAAAGTGAATTAGACAGTGCCCATTTCTTCCTCCCATTTAGTTTTTATTGAAGTGGAGATCACTGGAATGATACTGCAAAGTGTCATAAATATAAGATATCGATTTTTCTAAGCAAGACATGGGTCGGAGGCACCGATCAAGACAAGAGCCTGAGAAGATCTCAGAATTTTGCAAATATTTTAAGTAGGGCGGTCAAACAATTAATCGCGATTAATCGCATCCAAAATAAAAGTTTGTGTTTACATAAAATGTGGGTGAACTATGTGTGGGGAAATATTTTATATAGCCTACTGTATATAATTACACACACATGCTTGTATATATTTAAGAAATATTTTCATGTATATACAGATTTATATATAATTAATATTATATATAAATATAAATATTAATATATTTATATTTTTCCTTAAATATACATGCATGTGTGTGTATTTTATATATATATATATATATATATATATATATGCACACAGTGCACCCACATTATGTAAACACAAACTTTTATTTTGGATGCGATTAATCGTTTGACAGCCCCAATTTTCTTACCGTTTCTAATTTGCAAGTATCTAGAAACCACTACCCGGTATATTATATTTACTCTGTAATCGTGCCATCAATGTATAGCTCTCCTATTGTATGAATGCCTCATTCAGAGATTAAAAGTATTATAAAGAATGGATGGAGGAAGGGTTTCCAGTGATAGGTAATGCATAAAATATGGGTTTCCAGTTTGATTTGTTTCCAAATACGCACTGTACTATGGATCATCACATTGCTATTGTACAAGGACTTCTCAATAGTGTAAGGTGCCAGAAGGATGGCATCTATAGAGTTAGGCTGGCATGCCTCTTGTTCTAATTCGAGCCAGTTTGGTGAGGTAGCAGTGTTATCCGCTAGTACGCCATAATCTTGATATAGACCCAGAAAAATGATAAGAAATTCGGGAGTGCCAAGCCTTCCTCTAATTTACATTTGCAGAGGTGTTTCTTGCCTATTCTGTTAGTCCCATAAGAAAGGGAGCACAATCGAGTAAATTTATTTAAAAAAAGATTTGGGGAGAAACACTGGAATGTTCTGAAATAATTGGGGCAAGAAAATCATTTTGATAGCATTCACTCTACCAAGTACTGTATATTTGATTGTAATTTAGACAGCAGTGGTGGGAAATTCTCCTTAAATAGGGAAAAGGGAGGTTCTGTAACCAGGCAATATCCCGCACCTGTATGGGCATTATAGCTCGCTTTTATTCCAATTTATCCTGTAACCAGAAAAGGTCCCAAATGAATTTATTTTATCTAGTATCTGTGAGATTGTGACATGGGGTTGAGAGATAGATAATGAAACATCATGGGCATATGATGAGATTTTATTTATAGATCTTTGTGCATTATAACCATGAGTTAAACCGAACGGATAGCTACTCTCGGCAAGGGGTTTGATTGCTAAAGCAAAGATTAAAGGAGTAGTTGACTTTTAAAAAAAACTTTTGCTGCTTATTTACTCACCACTATGTCATCCAAGATGTCCATGTCTTTCTTTCTTCAGTCGAAAAGAAATGAAGGTTTTTGATGAAAACATTACAGGATTTTCTCCATATAATGGGCTTCAATGGGGACCAAACGGTTCAAGGTCCAAAAGACAGTTTCAGTGCAAACTACAAACTATTCAAAGGGCTTTAAACGATTTCAGACAATGATAATTAATCGTCTGGAATTGTTTAAAGCCCTTGACCCTTAATTCATTAACTTTAGATTTCGTTTGGCTGCTGTGTGTGAGTTATAACAGCCAGATGAACAAATAGAAAAGGTGATCAGATGGTGTTGGTTGTGTTTTAACATAATCATTAATTGACCTGACTCGCTGAACTCATCAAGAGCATAAATTCTGAGTTAGATATACCTTATGGATTTTAGCAGCACGGTCATTTTAGTACATACCATTTTTAGCCTTTTCAATGAAATCCAAACGATCAAAAAAAAAAAATGTATGTATACTATAGGCACACACAGACATCAAGAATTAGCGTATTAATCTCAGCAATGGTGACAAACAGATCACCTCTGAACATAAGCTCATTATTTATTCATGCAGCAATGCATGATGGGAGCCATGAATGAGTTTTGATTGGTGGCACCCAGAATGCATGGTAACATGCTTTGTAATTGTCACCATTGTTGAGATTCACAGGCTAATTGTTGATGTCTGTGTATCTTAAAAAATTGAAGAAAAGTAAAACATTGTGTGAGAGAAACTTTTAAGAAATTATTTTGAATACATCGTAAACGTTAAAAATATTATGCTGTACAAGGTCTTTGCTCCTATATATGAATTCAGTGATTCAGGTAAAATAATTGTGAAATACTGATTATGTTAAAACACAACCATCAGACCACCTATTTGTTCATCTGACTGTTATAACTCATGTACTTAAGGGTCAAGAGCCCAACTAAACCAAACACTGATCACCATAATGGTGACTTTGACGGTTTTCTCCTTCAGCGATTCTGTTTGTTAACATCAGGTGTCTTCAATAATGCTCAATCATCACTCTATTATTAACTTAATTATCGAAATGAATGCTTCAGTGTTCATTTAACACTCTGCTCAGAGTTTATATGATTCACATTTTTAAGTGCTGATTTAACACTGGGGGTTTTGTTGTGTATGTAGATATGGGCACAGGGTAACATTACATTTTTTTATACAGCTCACCTGGGAGGCCATCCAGGTCTGGAGCTTTATTACGTTTGAGTGAAGTAATAGCCTTTTAACTTCTTCATTTTCATCTAGTTGGGGGAGATTTTGTTTGAAATTATATTAGTAAGGCTAGTTGGTTTTGCTGTGGTATCAAAATTGGAATTATGAATTTTCACTGGTATGTAAAATGTTGCTGTCTTAACAACTGTATTTATTACAATACAAACATGCATGATAAATAATAATAATAATTGACTGAATTTATGTGTTACTTTTTTTGTGGTGGCACATCATTCTTTATTAGTCATTGAAATAGAAGTGGTCAAAAAAGTGGGTTTGTTCACTCAAAAATTAACAATAAATAAATAAATCAGAGTAATCATTTATATTATTCTAAACCCATATTCATTTCCCCCTCTTTTTTTAAAAATAACACTAAATGGGATTTGTATCCTAAGGGAAGAAACAATTAAAGAAAGAGGGCTGATGGACCTTCCGACATTCAGCAAAATTACTGAACTAATAAAAGTATGACAAAAAAAAAAATATTTCGTTCAACTTATGCAGACGATCTGCTCAACATCTCCTTATGTGATGTGTTCCTCAGAAAAGGACAAATCAAACAGTTTTGATACAACACACTGTTCATTTTCGGCTGTGTGAAACTATAAGTCTAAAATGAATTATCAACACATGTTTGTCTTTGCATCTTTTTATTTGCTTTGCTTGTAAGAAGAAAATAATACACATTTCTTTCAAAATCAGTGTTTTCAAAACAATCTGCCTCATGTTTCTCCTCAAACTCCTTTCTTTTCAGTTTGTCTCTCCGCCACCCTCCTTCTCTCCCTCTCTTTCTCTCTGTAATACTCCTCTTTGAGGTTCTCCCTCTCTCTGCGCCTCCACCCTTCTGCGGTCACATGGTAGAGATCCACGTTATTGCCAGAGTACGCGTCTCTGTGCGTGGCGCGGTACACGGCCTCGCGCGCGACGCACGCGGCCTCCTGCGCGCTCATGCCCCAGTGCACGCTGCTGTCGAGGATCGAGTATGCGTATGGAGAGCCCGATCCCACAGAGAACAGCTCCCCCTGCAGGCGACGCCCGTCACTGCACACATACACAACCCGAGGGCCACACGTCCCAGAACGAGCTTTGGCCACCTGTTGCGATTTAGATCTACTACTTGAATCGCTTACTGTGATTGGCATCATTTTTGCGTGGTGATTCCCATCTTTTTCGCCGTCCCCATCCCATCCGCACAGAGTGGCTGCGACGCACAGCTCGGTGCCTTTGAAAGGATGCAGCATGTGGGACAGCAGTTTCGCGGCGCCCCCTGTTGACAGCCTGCGGTGGTGTCGAAGCTGGTACAGCCTGAGCTCTCGAGACAAGATGCGCTTCCAGAGCGCGCAGTCCGCCGAGGTCCCGGAGGTGGTGCCCACCAGGTGAGAGTGGATGGGCAGGACCTTCGGCGCATTGGGACAGGCCACCTGTCCCGAGCAGCTGGAGCGCGTGTCGGCCGCCGCGATAACACCTCCCTGAAACGCGAAGCCGAGAGTTGTGGTACCGTGAGAGAGAGTGAACGGTAGAGGGACGGAGGGAGAGATGGAGAAGGGTGTGGGGGGTGGAAGAGAGATGGACGGCAATGAGGGGTGGACATGGTCATTCAGAAGGTTTTTCGGCGCTGAACCGAGGCTAATTTGACCAAAGTTTATTGGGCTCCGTGTGAGGTATTCGGATATCGGCATGTAAAATTCCAGAGGACTCAAAGCGCCCCTCCCAGGCAGCCGTGTAGAGAAAGCGTCTCCGTGCTGAACACCCCCTCCGAACAGATGAGTGGACTCCTCCGGCATAAAGGACTGTGAGAGTGGAGCGCTCCATTCAGGGAACAGAGGGGGGTTCTGCAAGCCACATACATCTTGCAAAGCCATAAACTATTATTTTGTAGGTAAACAATAAATTATAACTCTGTCAATTATAACACTGTATGACATAAACTGCAAAAACATTGAAGTTTTTCAGGCACTTTACCTGGATTTCTTTTGTTATTTCGTCAATATTGTCTCCTCATTTGTATAATATCGTTCCCACGGGTGGGTCATTTTAGTCTGTTTGTTGATAAAGAAGTCCTCAGCATTGGATTCCCCTCAGCATTTTTGGTGTTTATATCTTGTTTTGGTGATGATAGGCTGTTGAAAGTCTGCTCGACTCACGTTATATCCAGAAACGACTCGTATGGAAAAAAAAAAAACAATGCTCAGTCCATTTAATGTCTGCATTCAAAGATCAGTCTTAAACAACAGTGCTTCAGTGCATCTGTAACAGTTCAGAGGATCCTTATATAAGCGCCATTCTGTGATTGACTCAACCAGGCACGCATGAAAATGCCAAAGTAAGCCTTTCAACCCAAGCTTGACGATACACAGCGTGAAATTTCATTTTCAAACATGTCCGTTTTGTGCTGGTATGCTGTGTACTTTGGAAACAGGACGTTTGTGGATTATAAATGTTCTTTATTTCATTTAAGTTCAATTCTCACTATTAGCATGCATATTACTAAGATATTGGCTGTTTATGTATTCCTTATTCTGCATGATCATATTCTACATCCCGTAATCCACCCAATTCCTAAATGTCACAACTACCTAACTAACTATTAGTAAGAGAGAACTATTAGTAAGAGGAGAGTTCATTGAGGCCAAGGTCATAGTTAATCGTTAGTTCAAGGGTTATAATTAGTTTACCCAAAAGCTATCCCGTATTTAACCCCAAAAGTGCATCCATCCTTCAAGAAAAGTAATCCACACAACTCCAGGGGGTTAATAAAGGCCTTCTGAAGCGAAGCCATGCGTTTTTGTAGGAAAAAATCAATAATTTTATATAACCAAAAGTAGGCGTCTACTTTCACTTAGCTTACTCCTACATCCTATGTCATGTGTCGGGTCAGAGGTCACATTTGCGCCAGAATCAGCACGTACGGCTGTTACCGGAAGCCACGGATTATAGTTTATAAACAGGGTTTGAGATTAACACTCTCCAAATGTGGGTAAACATGAACAGTGGCGGGCAACGCTGTCAAATCACAAATCATTTGATGAGTTATCCATTGTTTACTCAGTTTGTGAATGCCAAATCTGCACAGGTTAAGCGCAAAGACTCGTGAGTCGTCATAATAAGTTAAATACAGATCTGTCCACCTAAAACACATTTTTGGTGATAAGAATGAGGATGAAAGAGGAAGGGATCTCCGGACGAGGAGATGACTGGATGACATGATTTTTTTTAATAAGAAATTAATATATATATATATATATATATATATATATATGGAAGGCTTTTAGCTGCGCTTTATTCATGATAAAACACGGCTATGACCGCTTCACCCATCGGCTCTGTGTATCACTGCGCAACACTGCAGTTCCAGTGTAGTGTTTATTTGAGCTTTCAATGCATATTACACATTGGAGCGTTGTTGTTGTTCACGGTCAGGGACTATTTTTTTCTAGCGGAAGGAAGGCTTTTAGTGATTTAACTTCATGAAAGTTGCACTAATACATGTTTTTTACTTTAATATTTGTATTGTATGGTAACCGCAAAGCAATAAGGTAGGCCTACTCGAGGCAAGTGCTGTATCGTCATGGCTGAAGGGGTTACTCTGCTTTGCGTTGAGCCTAACAACACATGAATATTGAACAATTTGTACTCATTCTTGAACTTAGGACAACTTTGAACCAGTTTAAATGTGGATCTGGTTTATTTATTTATTTTTGGCTAGTAGAAGTTCTGAATGGCCAAATTGGCGGAGTGACAAAGTTAATTTCAAACCCTTTTTATATATGGATTTATTTCCTCACAAAAACGCATAGCTTCATTTCAGAAGGCCTTTATTAATCCCTGGAGTACTTTTATGATGGATATTTATTTATTTTTTATATATAATTTTACCTCAGACTCTATTGACTCCCATTATAAAGCTTGGAAGAGCCAGGATATGTTTTAATATATAAGTCTGTGTTTGGCTGAAAGAAGAAAGTCACATCTAAGATGGCTTGAGGGTGAGTCGGCTACCTTATGGTATATAATTTTAATTTCTGGGTGAACTAAAAACTCTATAATAGTGAGAACTGTTCCATAATCTAAAGTGTGACCTTTATCACTTTATTTCAGGGATCTTAATAGAAAATAAAAAGAAAATAGTAGCATTTAGTTTAACCTCCTGTGATATGGACGAGCAACACTTTCATGGTGATAAGGTTTACTTAGCATTTCTTGTAAAAAGTAAAATCAATGACTCGGCGTTCTGAACTGTCAGTAGTGAAGATGAGGCGCGTCCACGTATAACGTGTGTGTGTGTGTACAGTGACACACACACACACACCACAACAACAGGTGTCATCATGCTCACACACGGAAGAGCGCGATACGCAGAAACATGTCGTGACAGTAAACACCATAGACAGTAAAAGAAAACACTAAGCTTCCGCGTCATCCTCACCTGTTTGATCGCTTCGACACATCGCGCGCGTCGCGTTCATTAGACAGAGGCAAGATGAGAGTTGTGTTGAGTTTCATCTGCACAGCTCTTCTGCTCTCACCGGTAAGACTTTCAACTTTATTTTCACTTCTATGCAACTTTCATATTTGCTCGAGTTTCATTTTCGTCTTTAAAACGCCTAACGTTATCCCTTTAAAATCAGATCATTTACTTTTCCTTTCCCCCCCTCATGTATCTAAATAAATAAGCGATTTGTTTGTATTTGAATGTTACGCTACATGTTATTAACGTTATATTTTGACGTGGTGGCGCCATAACAATAGACTGCCATGGTAGTTAGGCTTATTCTCTGAAGTTGGAGTGTAAATACTATGATATGAGATTACCCATCTTGTACAAAGACAATCAAATATATAGTTTGCTTAAAGTTAATGACACCTGTTGCTTACTATGATTTTTTACTGTGACATTGCAAATGTTCCCATTCATCAGTTCTGTGGGGAAATCTGGATAATGCTACAAAAGATAACAAAATGGGAGAAAAAATGGATAGGATGATTTTACGTAAACATGTAAACAAAGCTTGTTTATTGGCGAACATGGCATTTCCAATGAACCTTATTCCATTCCATTAGAGGATGGGACGGTATGAAAATTTCATATCACGATTATAGTGTCCAAAATAATCGTGATTATTAATATTATCACGGTTTTTGTTAAAAATTTATAATTGAAAATCAACAAACAACAAATAAAACAAGTCTCTCTATGCAGTTTTTTAAGCAAGATTTGCTTCTTTATAATGCCCGTCGTCAATAGCAACGCATTATTAAACAGCGCACATCCATAACATTCACAACGGACGCGCGCTCTTGTTTCATTCAAATACAACTTGCCGTCTTGCGTCTCCGGTTTTTGATTGTATTGCAAAAATGAAATTAGAGTTGATTTATTTTTTACATAGTTTGATAATATTGGTGTGATATATCTTGTCTGGACGATTGTTTTACAAAATGAATTCATAAACAGGTAAGATTTAAAACATTAGCTAATCTCATTTTCAATTTATATATGTCCCCGTAATTATGTGGTAAAAATAAAATCGGTTTAATACGTGATGTATTTATACTTCACTATCCCTTAAAATATCACTCTTAATAATAGTCTTGTTTGAAGTTGTTCGTTCGTCTTTGGCTCAAATCCACTTGCTACGAACTTTTCTTCGCGGAAGCTTGACGTCTATTTCAAGTGAGTGACATAAAATGTTTCAACTCAAAACAACATTTCGTGCCCAATTGTTTCCCAGACGTAGTTTTGGTATTGAGGTCAAAGTTAACTTGCCTTGCGTTCGGGTGATGATCACACCAAGACGACTCGGCAGATTTGAAGTGTTTCTATTGCAGTGACTTTTTGTTCGGCAGACAAGGTGACCATCCTCGATCAAGTTTCCCTCAGGACTTTTGTAAAACCCAAAATATGACCACACCTCAGATTTGGTCCTCTTAAAAGGCTGAAAAACCTCCTGAGCACGGTCACTGCCTTCCGCCATTCCTTCTCGAATAGTAATTTAAAAAAATATTGCGTGCTGCGCGCCTGCGTCAGACTGGCCAACGACAGGATTCAGTGAGTTATTAAAATCGCGATAATCAAACACGGTTTTAATGATAATTAAATTTTAAACGATAATACTAACTGTCAGTATTTTATCACGATTTATAGTGAAACCGGTTATCGTCCCATCCCTACATTAGATTATGATAATGTTCCTCATACTATAAAAAAGAGCTGGTCAAGAACTGGTAAGAACTGTTGATCTAATTTTCCATACTGGAAACATGAAGTGTGGGTCAATCTGTCTCTCTGAAGGTTTGGTGTGGGTCTCCTGACACTGATAGGACTCGTCTTGAAGACTTTGTGCAGTTTGGACAAGCTCCTGACTCAGTGATGGACAAATGCAGTGTACAGGTCCAGTATAACTGCTCCGCTGCCTGCCGAATCGCTGTCGAAATTGTTATTTCCACCCCAACAAGGACAGGAGTGATCGTTTACAGAAGGTCCTGGACTAACCATAAGAGGTTCGGAAAGCCCCGGTCCAGAAAGGTTCCTCTGGTGTTTCCTCCAGCGGTGCTGTACCGGAGAGACGTGTCCGTCAGTGATGTGGTGCTGAGGGCCTGGATGCTTCATCTGGACCAAGAGGAACTTGGTGGAAACCATACTGAAGGATATGACCGGTCCCTTGCGAGAACATCCACGTTTGTGAGGACATTGCCAACATCTCAACGTCCAGCGTATCCACAGACATGGGGTGCGTGGCTGATGTGGCAGATGACCAAAGATCCTGAGAGAAAATGTCCACACGAGTCAGGTGGGAACCAAGCAGACTGGCCTCTCATAATGCCTGGAAAAATTGAAAAGAAAAGTTAAAAGAAAATAAATAATGTGACCCTCATGTTATTCATAACCCATATGTTTTAGTATTTTTCCTCATGGAACACAAAAAGTCACTAGGAACTACTACACAGGAAAAAGGAAACTCTGATTAATGAGTTAGTAGGTAATCATGCTCAGTTGAATGTGGTAGTTCACTAGTAGCTAATCAGTAACTAGGGCTGGGTATTGACACAAATTTCACAATTCGATTCGATTTCGATTCACAAGCTTTTCAAATTCTTCAAATTTTCTCAAGGAAATCAAATCTCTTAACTAATGCTGTAAACTATGGGAGTAAACTATGAAATATAAACATTTAAATGGTGGCTGTCATAAAAACTTGCCAGATTTATTCAAATATGCATTAAATATTGAAGAACATTAAGATTATAATGCGTAATATGGTGTATATATTTAGCAAAATGCTCCTCTCTAGAGTTATTTTTTCTAGCTGACTAACGAGTTT